GGTGCCAGAGGTATGGAGCTGATGTGAATTGCACCACGTACTCAGTCATTCACTCTTTTTTGAAAGATAGGACCTGTGGTGTCTTATGTGAGCAACATTCATACAGCAACAGTGAAGGATAACATTCTGTCCACGGCACCTCCAGCACTAAACAAACTGCGAGCCGGGTCCCCTTCCACAGTACTACTTGGTCTGCTAACCTCATTTTACAGTGTTCGGGTGGATCGTTCAAAACTGTAGTTCAGAGTTTGCTTTTATTGTCATTAACATTTTACACTAGTGAGAGAGAAGGTGTATGACAGGTGTAGAGGGTGATACTGCCATCTCCTCCTTCAATATTGATCATAACTCTTAGCAGTGTTTCTTTCATCCGGGATTTAAAGGCATGACATTTTATTTGTGTGTCACTTAGACGATCGAGCTTCCTTCCAGAACTGGAAAAAAGTAAAAAGAAAAATGGCAGAGGCTGTGACAGCATAAGGAATGGGATAAAAGCTGGGTTTCATTAGGACTTCTTCTGGATAATTTCTTGACTAGTACAATATAAGATGGACTCCATGGTAACTTTGCTATTAGTTGTTTGCATGTAAGTCATATCACTGTAGTTCTGTCTCTGCTGTATCTGCACTACACAGGATACAGTTCCCTGTATACTGCTGCATAACGCTCCCAAGCTCGTGTTAAACAGGCTAATTTATTCCACCTTTGTTTCTACAGACCTAACATCAATAGGCTGGTGTTTCTCATTCTGCTGCAATCCAAGAACTTTTTCAGATTTGCGGATGTGTATCTTTATCAGTCTATGATGTCTCATCTTTGTATCAGCTGGTTTATCTACTATTTCAATTACAGAACCATCTCATGACGTGTAAGAATTTGGACTATGAATATGTAATTGTAACAGAATAACTTATCAACTAGTTAATAACCAAGAAACCCCAACAAAACCCAACTGTCTTTATTCTCTAATATGTGTGTATCCAACAGAAAGTTGCCTCCTGCAAGACCTTTGATTCAGGTTCTTCTTAAAGGCAGAATGCCAAATGAAAGGTACTGCCACTGAACTGAGCTTAATGGCAAATTTTATACACCTGCGAACACCACTGTTAGACACGAAAACTTTCACAGAATTCACTTGGAAAACTCCATGTCCTGTAGCTGAATGAATGACACAGGCATGTCATATGTGTATAGCTAAATGAATGATAGAATGTTCACCTCTCATTGTCATATGTGATTCATAAAAGATCTTTCATGCCAAAATGCAATGTCACTGTACAAAGTCAGTGTACAGCAGGCAGACCATAAAACAAGAGGACACGCTGTCTACAAGAGTAAATAAATTCCTGCCTGTATGAAAGAAAAATTCCCTAAGAGCAGTTTTGGAGAGCTTGGTTTGTTTGGTTTTTTGCTTTGCGTTTTTATAAATGGGCCATCTTAACTGTGTGTAATAAGCTGAATAGGACTGAAATATGGATCTGATGTATTCTGATGTGAAATGCATCCCTATGTGAACCTGTTCTATTTCTACTGAAATCAGTGCTGTGGTTCTAGATAAGCTTGGGTGGAAAAGAGATGGATTTGACCCCATTACTGGTTTTTTTCACTCTGTTTTAAAAGGACAAAGAGCTCATTTCAGCATTTTGCAATTCTAGTGATTCTAGGACTTACTGTAGTCCCCACCTGGTGCTTCACTTATTTTTACAAATATTGTCCCACCTCCCAGGCTTTTTCAATGTCTTAGATTTTTGCTGGTGTTTTGTAATTTAAGAATTAAAAATCACAAACCAGGTAAAAGGGGGGTAACCTCCAAATGCTCATGTCTAGTTTAGATACATCTTTTTTTCCTATTCCCTCCTGCCCAGTTTCTGCATCTTCTGAGCAATACTGATACTTTCACCTCTTCGTAATGATTTTCACAGTTATGAAACAGAGAGCAGAATCAGTAATAGCGACACTGAGTGACATTGTTGCAGTATTACTAACCTTCGAGAAGAGGCTCACAAGTCATGCAGAGTATAAACTTTCTAAGTAACAGCTTACTAGCTTCACTACGATTTTCTTAGATATTGAGGCCAAAGAAGACTAGCAGTGTATTTAATGACTACCCTGTAGCTTTTCAGCTGGTTTTCCAGAATACGGAAGCAGAGTCTTCTATGGAGTATAAAACAGGAAGAGAAGCTAAATATAGCTATCGTACTGTTGTGAAGCATGGCTTCCTGGTAATAGGAGCCAAATAACCCCGATCCATTATCTGTATTTTCACTCTCGATAGCTTGATACTTCAGACCAAGCATGCCTACTTGCATCCATCTTAAATCATTCACAAGTTACATCAAAATACTGTTCCTTAAGTATTCATATCCAGACAAGGTTAGGTAAAGGTAAATGGCGAGACAGATTTATTTATTTGGCTCTAAGCATTTTGGTGAATAAATCTCATCTACCCAACGTCTCCAACCAGAGGTGATCTGGGGACATCAACAATATTGCTGGGCAGCCCCACTGGCTTTTCATACCCTATCTTTTCTATGAGCATCTGGGGCTCATTTGAAAAATTCAGTATCATCACACAAAAATAAGTTAGTTCCTTTGCTTTTACATAATTTGACCTCAGTCCAGATTTACTTTTTTGTTTGTTTCCCACAACATAATACTTTCTCGTAGCCTTGTTCTGAGACACATACTCCAGAGAGACTCCTTAACAGAGCAGTTGGCATATATTGCACAGGCACCTGAATCACAGTGTTATTTTTCCTTAGTGGTCCTTCTGTAAATGAAGCACCGTTTTTACTCCCCAAGCCATTAAAAGCTGTTTTAGTGACTAGTATTGGAAGTTCCATAAATTCTCAAGAATAAAAACTTTCAGTGAGTATTTCCTACTTCCCTTGATCTATGCAAATACTTATTTTAATTAAAGTAATAATAGACATATCAGCAAGATGTGATCAGCAATTAACCCATCAAAGAACCTGACAGCCTTTAGCATTTGCCCAGTTGGTTCCCAGTATTTAGAGAAGAACACTTCAGAAAAAGTAAGATTTCTTTGTAGAAATTGCTCTACTCAAGGCCAAGTGAGTGCATAGTAAATAAGTGAGCTGATTTTTTACCTGCAAAGATTAAATCATACTGTGATAATTTTCTTAGGCTGAGAGCAGGCTCCCTGAAGTAAAGATGAAGTGCAAAAATCTAGTCTTAAGTCTGACATGAAAATGTGTTTCATAGTTTCATCTTTTAATCAAAAAACCAAGACCGTGATCCTTTCTGCCTGAAGTTAGACAGAATTTAGCTATTGAAAACAATAGGACTGTACCCAGTGCCACACCTAAATTAGTAGTAGCTAATTTTCTTTAAGTTTGATGCATATTTTACAGCAGAACCCTGAACACACTACCTGCCAGAGACAGTACCTGTCTGTGTTCAATCCTATCGGTACCTTCAGGAAAAAAGGCATTTGAGAGCCTTCTCACAAGTTGACAACCTTCCAATTGCACCTCACAACTACAAGAATTGCATATATACTTAAATTGGATTTCTAGTATTACTACTGTCACCTTAAAAAGATATTTGCTTAAAAACATTAGGTCTGGCCCTCCAGTCTGATAAAACTGCTTTATATCCTTCTGTTTCTGCAAAGAAGCCTAAAGCTGACAGGCCCAGGCTCTGGTTCCAAATACATTTCTTCAGCATCAGTGATGGCTCAAGATGTCCCTGTCCCTGCTCTGCCAGCTTCCTTGTATCCGCACAATGGTCGGTGTGGCTTGTGATAAACCATATCAGGGAATTAGTTTAGATGAATAGTGACTTGGGTCTCTTTCAGCTGTGTCATTTCTATAAGGATGGTGGCTGTAAAAACCATCTTATTCAGCATTGCCACTTAACCTGAAGCCATAGCTCTGGACAGTTCAAGACAGCTTTGGACAGTTCAATATCATGTACTTAATGGGATTTTGTGGTCGTACAAGGTAAAATTTTAGATGTTTCTGGGCTGCCTGTCTTTGAAGATTCAGCAGACATCCACTATATGGATCAAAAAAAAGCCTCAAACATCTTTAAAAGAAGGCTTATTTCAAATTTGAACGAAAATTTCCTGAGCTTTACCTTCTGAGCAAAGTGGAAACTGTTGTACATCTCAAAATACATGGAATTCTCATGTCCACACAGGGACGGCAATGGAATTGCATCTATCACTATTTGCTAGGAATGAAGATTGGTGCGAAAATCATCCTAACACAAGTTCTACAGGACAATATACCAAGTCTAAATATGAAATATCCAGTATCCAGTATCTGTTAAAGAGCTGCAGAGCCTGCTTTAAAAGAGGTGCTTGCTTGAATAAAATGTTGCATGCTAAGCCAGTGAGGCTCTGCTTGAGCTCAGGAGTCTGTCTGCCATGTGCAGCATAATTTTAAGTGGAAATTTTGCCTGAGCGCAGATGAAATGCTGGGCTTTGAGGGAACACATTATCCTTAGAGAACACAAAATGACACAACATAAGGAGCAAGTCCACTGAAACTTTTTTTGATCATTCACCTTTATGCAGAGACAACAGCTGCAAAAGACTGCCTCCATAATAATTCACTACCTATTGCAAATCTATAAATTGTCTGAGTGCTTCAAAATAACAAAGGACTAGCTCAACTTTCCCGAAGAAAAGAAAATTCACCAGAACTCCATTGCACACAGCTGTTATTAACATCAGCTGATTCGTTACGTGTTTTCATGTCAGTCCTTACAAAGAAGTATTTTGTAGTGTGAAGAAGGACCATGTGTTGTAAAAACGATGCTCCAGAACTAAGAAGGATATCTACCTATCACCTGAGCCCAGATAATGAAGTGTCTCATCCACATTAGTAAAATATTAACAGAGGTTACTGGTAGTCATAGTAAAATGAGAGGCTGCACTGAACGTAATTGCATTTACGGACGTTCAGAAAATTGACATCACGGCTGCGAGAATGTATAAATAACCAGCATACTGCATTTCTGATCGACTGCAGCAACATCTCTGAAGGGAGCATTCTACAGGCTCAGCTCCGCTAAAGGCACAGCAGAAACTGGATTTTGTAAAGTACACTGAGAAGCTCCTTTTTATGAAGCAGTTCTGAGAACATCTGAGAGATTTTTCCTCTGCCTTTAATTGTGTTTGCCATTTCTTTAAAAAAGCATGTGCACGGGAGGTTGTGCTAAGTGCCTGGGAACCACTCTTATCCCCCTGGCTGTGCTATGCACCCTCGCCAACATTTTGTTGTTTTTCCCTGGAGGAGAAGTGGTTGAAGACAATGTACACATTACAGATGAGGTCTGGTACTTCGGAGGGATCTTGGGATCTGGTGTATTGGTGAGTATATAAAGTCAGACATTCCCACCTTCCCCCCCTCCCCCCCATGACTTTGTATTGCTGAATTTCCTCAGTACCTCAAATGCAGGTTCCAACACTGCAAATTCTTCTTTGATAAACAAATAAGTTACAAATCATCCAACAGTTTTGCAATAAGTAACTTAATTTAGTCGTAAGAAAAAAAAAGACATAGAACTATTATATTTAAAAGCAGATGTAACTTGAATTCATCCCAAGTCAAACTGTATTTCTGTTATTGGTAGATGACCTTTCCTGCCTTGGTATTTTTGGGCCTTAAGAATAATGATTGCTGTGGATGCTGTGGTAATGAGAGCTGTGGAAAGAGGTTTGCGGTAAGTGAGAGGAAACATGGCAAAAAAGTAAAAGCTAAATTGTTACTGATATGATACATATATCTTCTGCTCACAGTGATTGAGAGACTAGACAGATGCTGTCCAAAGCGTAGGACGCAAAGCCCTGCCATTTGTCTGAGTGCTGGAAAGTAGAAATAGCTGGCTGTAAAAATTGTATTATGCCTTTGATGTTGTGCCACAGGTACCACAACTGTACTGCCTTGTTGTATTTTTCTATCACAAGATACTTATAGTTGCTATCACAATTAAAACTAATTTCTGAAAGATCTGCACTTTGTTTTGCAGAGCATAACAGTTCTCTCTTTAGCCATTTTTTGTTGGCAGTTTTAAAAATGTTTCTGACAGTTGGGCACTACATTCCCAGCTCATTGCAGACCCGTGCAATGGGCTGTATCTCACTAGGTTCACAGGAAATTTCAGGTTGGAAGAGACCTCAGGGGGTCACCTAATCCAACCTCCTGCTTAAAGCCGGGTAGACCAGGCTCCACGTTGAATTTATAGCTCTCTTTCATGCTAGAAGTGAAAAGTTTCAAATGGATACCTTCAGACACTAGTAAACATTTCAAGCATTTTAGTTTAAAAATGAGATTAGAGAAAAAATAAATATATTTCTACTAGGAAAGTCTGTCCTTTTGAAATAAATTGTTTGGCTCAAGTAGATCGCTACACTTTTTTATAAAGGAACAGGTTTTCAATTGAAAACAAAAGGGAAAAACAGATAGGAAAAGCATCAGGAAGGTGAGGCTGACAAGGGGCCTTCCCTAAATCCCCTGTCTTTGATGCTGTCTTCATGCAATCCAACAAAGCAGGCGGAACTTTGAGGGGGGAAATGGAGCCACATATTTCTCTTCACCACACCGTATTATCAATTTTCTGTTAGCAGTGAACATATCTTAGTTTAGCTTTGGAGACCACATGTAACTCGGTGACTACCAAACTACTAACGTTTTGCTGCCAGGCTGCCACTCACACCTCTGCAATGCAGCTGAACTGGGCGCATGGTTATACACAGGCAGGTGACCAGCTGCGAGCGCTCGCTGCCTCTGCTCCTGCTGGCGTGTGTAAGCTATACCGTGTACGCATGGTGCTGCCCATAAAGCAACCTTCGTTCTGCAGTGCAGTACCTTGTTGATGACTCATGTTAGAGTGCAGCTGACTGAGAGACTGGGAATACTAATACAGTCACAAGTACTAAGTACACCATACTAAAAGAGGCCTGGTGGCCCTGCCACAGCATGACTGAAAACTGAATTTGTTCTTGTATGTTAGCAGAAACACCATTATTATGATGTCTACTACATAAACGTAATGTTTAAGTTAGCCCCATCAGATATATCAACATAAAAATGCATGTCAACACTCAAGGCAAGAGTCTCGTGATGAGGTCTGAATAAAAGCTCACAGACCTGAAAGTACGTTTCTTTTTTTCCTCCACCTGTATCACTTTGATCCAATAAAAGACACTACCTCTACCTACAAACTATTATGGCTACAAGTGCTTCAGAATTCAAGCGGGGCATTAGTTTTTGCATTATTTACTTACATATTAGTATATATGAAAATGCTGTAACGGAAAGCCAGAAAAAATAGAGACAACCTTTCCAATCCATTCCAATTGCACTATTAGAGCTAATGATGACAAGTACCTGCGAGGAGATAAAGTATGCTAATATGAAACATGAAGGGGAGACTCAGAAAGGAAAAATATAATTACTTGGTCCAAATAGGACCAAGATACCAAAGCTAACTTGTAAAGGGTACTGTAGATTTTTTTTTTTTAATGCCCTGAGTGGTCCAAGATTTCAGTCTTGCTTACGATCTCTTGAGAAAGACATCCACTTCAGTGAAATACAGGACCTCGAACAACAACGAGGTCCAGTGGAGAAATACTGTCTAAAGGGGAGGAGTGCTATCTACTGTGTCAGCACTGACCCCTTTCGTCTTCAGGCAAATGGTGCTAATTCTTTTAAAGCTTCTAAATACCAGTGCAGCTATGCGTTATACATTTATTATGTAATTGCAAACTAATATATTTTAGCTGCTCGGGAGTTGACTATTTTGACCATTAAGAGCTGAATTTAGGGACTGTACATTCACATTAATAGGGTACATTTCATTGTATGAATGAGAACAAAAATAACATTATTTTTCTCTTCATCAGATGTTTTCTTCTATAATATTTGCTGCAGTTGGAGTTCTGGGAGCTGGATACTGCTTTGTTTTGTCAGCAGTAGCCCTAAACAGAGGCCCCAAATGTGACACTGGAACACAGTGGACCTATCCTTTCCAGGATGGGTAAGACAAGACAATCAGAAACAAATGTTACACGTTTTAAGTTTGTGATATGATTTAACTTCCAAATCGATTGTATAAAAATGGGAATTATACTGTTTGTCCAAAACACAGAAACTCTTAGAAGAGCCAGCAACACACAGAAATACTAAATAAGGTTCAAGAGCATGGATGTAAAGACTAGCAAGTACAATCAAAACTACCAAGTTTCAAAAGAGCTAATAAAGAGAAATGCACAGCCTTCTAGGTTATTCTTGGGATGATAAGCAGTATAAGGGAATACATTCCACCTAGATGAATAGCAGTGACATCTTATATTGAAATTTGATGGTATGCAAATAATTAGTATCTATATGTCATTTTATCTTGGTTATGGAATTTGGAAGTTGTCTGTTCCTCACACTCTGCAACATGTTTGCTGTCATATGTATTTATCACTTTCACAGAGGTGGTGTGAAGAACATGAAACCCTAGCAATCCAATTGCTCAGGGCTGAAGTCAGCAAAGGTCCAGCTGAAAACAGGGTACAGTGTGTTACCACGGAGAGCAGGACAGATCGACAAGGGGTGCAGTAAACCCCTCATCACCTGAGAGTCTTTAATGCAGTCTTCCTCAGTCAAGAGTGACCTAGCAGCGTTTCTTGCATAATACAGCACAAAATTATAGCTCACGTTAAAAAGAAAAAAAGAGGTATAATGCTGTATGTTACGCGTTATTTGTTCCTGGGCCAGTGAGGGCTGGAAACCAGCTGCTTTGGTCTAATTCTGGGAGTATTTGGAAAAATATGCTCTGTTTCAAACACAATTTTGGTTGCAGTCAAGGAATCACTTGACAAGACCACAAGAAACAAAACAGCATTAAGAATATGCAGAGGAAATATAGAAAGTGGTTAAGCAGTTCACAATTAAATCAAAATGTGGAGGTAAAAATGATGGAAAATACTTTTACCTAATACTGCTGTTCTTTAGACGAGGCATCTAGAACAGCAAAGGTTGTTCGTTTCTGCTCAGTGGGCAAGAGGCAACTGGTCTTGTAGCATTTGATGTTTTGTTAGGAAAACTGAGTTTATTCATCTTTTACCATATTGTTTTGATAATTCACTTGTTTTTATTACAAGGTAATACCGTAAATTAAGACAAATATTTGGGTGTAGACACCCCCCACCCCCCCGGGGTTTCTGCCAAGGAGGAGTTACAGAAGGTGCCACACTCCCAAGGAGACCCCCCGAGTCCCGTATCTGCAGGGGTGCGCTTTGTGGGTGTATTACGCACCACCAGATGTCAGCACTGCTTCATCCAGCAGAGAACCACGGCATCAGTAGCAAAAACGCCTTCGACAGAAGACGTTGGCACGGATGAACATCCGTTTGGCACATGCTTGGCTAAGATTTCTTCCCAAAATACCAGAAACTGTTCAACTGTATCTAACACATACTCGTCTCTGATTGTTCCCTTCTGATGCCTTGTCTTTTCAAATCAATTGCTTCAATTGATCTAGAAACTCAAACGAAATCACGTTCTAGATAAGTAGCACCAGTGCGATAATGGGAATTCTTTCTCACAGTACTGAAGCTAGCAGAACATCACAACAGTGACAACTTGTCAGTCGTGACAGACCCCCTCTCTGCGAGCTAACATCGTCTTCTTCCTAACTGTTTTGTGTGTGTGTGTCCCCAGGAATTACCTCGCTAACCACACATTGTGGAACATGTGTCAGTCACCCAAAAACATCGTCCCGTGGAACCTGACCCTCTTCTCCTTGCTGCTCGTCATGAGTGGGATCCAGGCAGTGCTCTGTGGCATTCAGGTGGTGAACGGCCTGTTTGGAACAATCTGTGGGGACTGCAAATGTTGCGGATGTTGTGGGGTGAGCAACTGATGGTTTTCTTTCATTATTTTGTGTAGTGATGATAGTTATATATACACCTGACTAGCTGACAGTCTGAAAAACTAAACTGGCCTTCATTCAGCGCCACGATCATGTTTTCTAAAGTACAGCTGAAACGCTGCAGTGTTGCCAGGTGCTGAAAATATGATCTCAGTCCATATTTACGGTGTTTATCTGACAGCTTCCCATAGCCACTGGGAAATAATAAAAACCTTTGAAAGTCACAGGAATAGTAGCCACTAAATTACATCCATGTTTTTATTCTTCCAGGGAGATGGAACTGTCTAAAGAATATGAATATTGCAGACAACCCTCCTTATCTTGGGAGGCTCCCTTTTGCAACCATTCCACAAAGCAGCCCTCAGATGCATCGTCTCTGGCTAAGAAGATGAGAATGAAGGGCACTTCCCCCCACTAATGTTATGAAGCCCTGACTCCCTTTCTAGTCTTCCTGAAACCCCTCATCATGGAATAAAATAAGTGAAATTCAACTCTCACATTCATATTTATTTTTGTAAAACAGCTTTCATTTAAGAAGAGGGTATTCTCAGGCAAAATATTTTCTCTCCTGAGTCAGCTTTCCAACTGGGGATCACCAAATGCTGCTGGTACAATGCAGTTGTACTGCAGTTGTGTCTATTTTCTTTTGAGGTTTATCAGATGGAAATATCACCAGTCTAACTTTTTTTGAGTACCTCTTTATGTTACGTGGAAAAGTGAGGACTTCTCTCTTCCAGACCTGCTATGATTAAAATGCTCTCTATAAAGAGAGTCTCTGTTACAAGAGAGATCCATGAATCTCATGGTGAGGTCTCTTTTCTTGACTGTGTCTGACAGATGGGTGTATTCAGCAGCACTGCTGTGCAGGTAAGCGTAGGGTCAAAGTAACAGGCAAAAGAATAAAGTGCTGTGGATCCCTAGTCTGAGGCATTACGAGTCATCTTGGACACCACAATACCCTGCTTCACACCAGGAATTCAGTGAGAAAGGCCAATGCACAGCCATTTCTCAGCACGATGGGGATCTGGCTTCTTCACTAATCCATAATCAATTTTCTTCCAGTCACTCTCACCAGAGGGAATGTACCAGCACAGTATGGCTGTAGAAGATGAAACTGAAAACAGAAAGTATAAGAATACGGGAGGCTTGCAGAGAGACTTTCCCAGCCTACAATTCTTTGTACTCCAGGGACCACCCGAGACAAAGGTGCCATCTCTGCATTTAACTCTTCTTGAGGGATTCTTTCTCCATGAAGCTGTCCAGTTGTTTCTTGGATCACACAACTTCATGTTGTGGGAAGAACCTCCTTTGTTCTGACCCTGCCACCTGCTCCTTTCGTTCGATGCCTCCTAGTTCTTGCCTGCAAGAAAGAGTACACAGCCAGTCCCATCCCCTCTTCCCCATGATACCTGATTTCATAGGTTCTCTCATATCTCCTCTCAGTTGTCTCTTTTTTTAGCCTGAAGAGCATTAGTATATTTAGTCATTGCTCATACAGGAGTTGTTTCACCTTTATTTGAAGTTTTTTCAACTTTCCCCACTATACTCTGAGATGGGAGGGACAGAGCAGCAGTGTTCCAGGTACAGGCACGCTGCCCTAGACATTTATTTTACCAGCAAAGTTCATTAGCTACAAAGACAAGGATGAACCACAACCTGATTGGTCACTGCTGTGAATCCCACAAGTCTTGTCTTGTTAGAGAGCAAGCCGATTTCTCATACAGGACATCATCTTCAAACACTGGCTCCAAACAAATGGTAAATGAAGCCTCATTTCTAGAAAATCAAATAAATTTTCACATCTCTGATACAATATATAATTGGTACCCATGGAAAGGAGAGGGACATACCCTGTTTAAATCCAGCTATGTGATGAGAAAATGCAATTAAAACTTCAACATACTTATCTATTTACATGCTGAAATATGTCCTATACCTGTAATCCTTCTCTTGAATCTCTCTTCTACAGAAACTGCGCAGTCTGTATGATTTAACGATGTAGAAATATTCACAGAAAGTAACCAAATGTGTTTCTACTTGTGAAGTAGAAGGGCTTTTAACCCACTGTTCATGGCACTAACTAACCAACTGTGATCTCTTGTCTAACAAAGGTGATGCAGTGACTTAAGAGTCACAGATAAACAGGTCTGGGAGGCATCTCTGGAGCCTACCTTTGTATGCAAAAGCAGTGCAAACAACACTTACATAATTTGTAAGACATCTGTGTAACCTGTTCTTAAAAATCACTAAGCTCAGAGATCCAACATCTTCAGCATTTTATAACACTGCTAACTGTTCTGAAAGTTAGAAAGACTTCCTTAATATGTAATCATGCACCCCCCTGGTACAACGCTGTTCTCTTCCCGGTGGGCTTACGGAAAAGTCTTCCTCTTCACAGCAAACTTTTACATATTTGGAGACTCCTAGCATGTTTCAATCCTCACCTCTGACAAAACAAAAAATTTTCACTCTCTCATCATAACTGATGTTCTTTCACAACTCAGCATTCATCTTGTCCTCCTGCAAGCTCCTCCTACAACTTTCCAGAAGCTGAACACTGGACTTGTGACTTCAACACAGGTTACAATTTCTATTCAGTCGAGTTGAGTAGCTCGTAAATCCTCCTCTTAAAGCTTCCAATCTATACATGAGTGCAAATGCTATTTATTAATCTTTTTGCAGAAGTTCAGTTTAGCTGTGTTTGGCACAGTGCTATGAAAAGAGATACAAAAGGCAAAAGAGATACGAAAGGCAAAAATACTTTTTAGAAAGAACTAGTCTTTTAAAACTTAAAAAGAAAAAACTATTTCCCAAAGAAATCAAGGAGGAAATAAGAGGGATTGGAGAAGTTTGAGGGATTCAGATCAACTGATATGATTCTTAAGAAATTCCTAAAACAAATTTTCACAAACCAGCTTGCCAGACTGGATGTCTCAAGGCTTGTGCAAGATGATAAAAGAAATTATAAAAAAAACTCTTTAGAAACAGCTGTCTCTCCCACCTGTTCTACTGCATTGCTAGGGAATTTGAGAGTACCCTTTATATCACCACCCACTGATGCAACCATCTTGCATCTATTCTTTCATCTGTGCTTAGCAGCTGTCCTGCACCTCATCTTGCATTTGTCTTGTTTTATTTATATGAAGCCTTCGGGAACATGGAATGTTTCTCATCAGCATTCAACAAAGGGATGGGTATCTGCATAGTGTACAATTTTGATATATTAATAAACGGAATACATAAACCTTTGTGGGACACTTGGGATAAGAAATAACAGACAGGAAGCTATGATACCTAAAACCAAAACCAAAGGGTGTTTCATGAGTCAATGCTTCTAAGGTGCCCAACTACATGGTGGTTTTCTAACATGAGCTAATAGATAGCAGATACTAAGACAAGGCGCACGCATTTCATCTTGTGATCTGGGCTGCATTTGCACCTTGGCCTTGGGTTGTATTGAACAAGCATAAACGAACTGGAATCAGCAGCTCAGATGATCTAGCATTTTAAAGTGCCAACAACAGTGTTCCTAAATCTATTCAGTTACAGTTAACATCTGAGGCTCTCCCCTAGCATTTAATTTTATGGGAATCACACTTATCTCCAGTGTCAGTTCTGCAGTAACTGGAGATTGCTCTGTTTTTACTGAGCGAAGCATCCAGTAAAATCAAGGAGAGGGACGGATCATAGATTGTTGTAACAGGGAAACATATAACGGGCCAGTGGTACTCCTGGGAGAGAAGTCACAGGTAAAGAGAGTACAATGCTAGACAGGGACAGAAAGATGATGGCAAGAGAGGAACCACGAACAGGGAGAACTGAAAGTGTTAAACCAGACCTCAGTAGTCCTGACCAACTGGAACACCACACTCAGTTTTAGTGTGTACAAATGTCAACTGTCATACAGATGTAGAAATCTACAAATTTAGGCTACAAATCCTAGTAGCCTAAAGGAAAAATGTTAGTATCTTTTGTAAAATCTCAGAGATGCACATATTATCTGAAGCTTCATTATTCACCCATAAAAACTGGCTGCTGAGTGACTGGTTGACTAGGGTGCTGAGAGCATAGCAATTTTGACATTGCGAGGCATTGTTTCAGCTGAGAGTTTACATAAAAAGAAACACACAGGTTATTTAACAACTGGGATTACAACATGTGGAGTGTGTGCATGTGATTTTGAGCTCACACATTTCAACTTCAGCCTGACAAAACTGGTGCCCCTGCACGGCTAAATTATATACAGTTGGAGCTCTCTTTATTGATTGTCTCCAATAAATAGACTGCAACAAGATGATACATTAACCACAGTACAGTGTCACCTGTCAGGGAACGATGCATTATTTAACTGGCAAACCTTTGCAAAAGGTTCGTTTCTAAAATTAGGAAGCAATATACACAAAGTTAGAAGACATTTGCTCAGCCAAGAGCAAAGGATGTTTTCTAACGTCATTCTAGTCTTGAATGTTCATCACCTGCCCCCAGTTCAACTTTAGCCCCCCCTTCATGGCTTCAACGTTACTCACGGTGTAACCAGCAACAAGGCCAACAATGGCAAACTCTGGAACAACCCCTCCTGCCTGGGGATGGGGAGACTGACTTGTTCTGACATTGGTATGGGTGGGGTCTTTACCCCAGAGGGCGGACACTGGTATCACAGTGATGGACATGAACAAAAACCCAGATAAAACACCTCTGAAGTTTTTCTTCTTGCCAAATTACTTTTTCACTGGGAGAGGACACGCAGTTTAACTGAAATTACAAAAGCTCCGCCAACACAAGGGGACTTTCTTACAGACATCTTCGTTATTCTCCACTTGTCACTGCTGATTTGCTGCAGGACCCTTTGCTGAAATACAAATTGCTCCCACTTGTGGATCCAAACAATCCAAACCGAAAAAAATCATTAGTAGGCACTGAAAAATACACCATTAGTCTACTAATTGATTGTGCTAGTCACAGTAGTTTATGGCATGATTTGGAGACGGATACGTGCACAAAAAAGCTCCAGTAAACCGCCTCCACAGCCTTGGCGCGTCCAAGGTTTGCCTGCTGCCGGATTTCACGGTTGGCTGAAGGTGCAGGACCGGCGGCCCCGCCCGGCGCCCCGGCCCGC